GCTCCGTGTATTTTTTTGATTCCCACAAAAATAATATTTTGCAAACTCTTCACACTATCAATATCTTTTAAATAGCTTCTTTAACTGATAGCATATTACTCAATCTGGCCAATTGCATTCTTTAATTATATGTTGCAGAAATAAAAAAGAAACCTGGTCCGGCTTTTTATTAAAGAGTGGAAATGCATTAAAAGTGGAACAAGTTAAAACTAACATTTTTGTTTCTAAACAATTTCTTCCATATGTTCGTACGTTCCACTTTTGTTTTCTTGAATTTGACATCAAATTCTCTGACCAATAGCAGACGATCAGCCTAATATCATTCATGCCAAGTTTTATAATAACAGATTCTTGCTTAGTTCTACTTACTTGGCAGGTCGACCAATATAAAATTCTCTTTTAAGGTGGTCCAGGATAACAGGTAACCTTTTTATATAAAATTCCTATCAATTAATGTATAATCCACAGTCAGATGAATCAAATCCTACTAAAAACCTTGAAACATCATGCTTTTAAAACACTTCTTTGAAGTTAATCCAAAATTCTAACACATCTGATACAATCAGTGAAAGGCAGACACAATACTGAATAAAAACTCAGACAAAATTAATTCCAAGATTTGGGCAGTGCCAAAGAAACAATTCAGCCATGTAAAGATTACTACAGAATAACTGGAGAATATCAGTTTGTTGTCTGATCTGAGCCAGGAATCTAGATTAACTTTACCATCAATCAACTAATAGACTGGATAGAATGAGTCTATAGCCTCCATTATCATAATTATCAGCAGTAATTAGTACTTGACACATCTGTCCATTAAGGAACCATAACAACCATTGTGTTTACTTTCTTGTTCCTCCCTAATCTCTTCATTTGTGACGCCTTTATTCGTGCTGCTAAACAATTTTTCAAATTAGGCAAATAAAAGTTGGGTTTGTCGGCAGTATTTTAGATTAGAAAAGTCAAGCCACTAACCCTGAATGTTTGTTCATTAGACACAATAACATGGAATGGAAAGTAGGCCTACCATGTTTTCTTTTAGGGGAAGACGTGACAATAATAAAAGGAAATATGTGAACAAAGAGGGCAAATTGTTTTTATAATAAAAATTAGTGCGTTGCTTATAACTAAACAGAAAATAATCAATGGCAAGAACTCAATCATCTGCACCAGCTTCAAACAAAAGAGTATGTTGAGGAAAAGAATTTATATTTCATCTTACGTGTGGGTGTAAGAATAATAATTAAGTTCCAAATGATTACTCAGCAAACAAACCAGGTAATACTAAGTCCAACAAAAAAAATGATATTTTGATTTACTAAAAAGATTTTTAAAAATGAATAATTCATCCTCTTAAACTTCTTTATTAGAAGTAAACCAAAATTGTTAATTCTAATATAATGGATATTTGAAAATATATACAAATACCAAACAGCAGTGTCATTCTATTTTAAGGTTTCCATGCATGTTGACACCTACTAATCTAAATCCCTTGTGAATAATGTTTTCTATTTGAAGTATCAACTCGTTATATCAATGACTGACTTATCATGGGAGTAATTAAGCACAGATCTAATGACTTTTGGTCACACCATATCCAGCAATAAGTTAACAGTCAGTGGACACCGTATCACACACTAAAACCACTGAATTAAAGTAGTAGCAAATATTCATGAATAAATTAGTAATGGTAGCCAACATGTGTGAATATATTTCTAGCTGATGGATCCATCCCTCTGATCTATTTCACTAATTATGACTTTTGACCAACTGATGGGGGTCCCTTAGGGTCAGTGATCATGCCTACTCTGTTATTAGTTAATTGGTCAAACAATCTAGTCAGTATTTAAATTTTTATCTGTAACACATCATGCAGGTTTGGCATCCAAAATAATTACCAATGACACATACTTGACTACTTTACATCCAATAACAGAAGGGAATCTGAATTCCATTTATCAAGAGTGTTATACACGCAGACTTTTCAAAAAGTGTTAGGAATTCCCAAAGTTGAACACTTATACTAGCTCACACTAATATTAATGATAATATTTTGTCAAATACTTTACTCAGGTTATTTTGAGACAAATAATTAGTCTTTAAATGAAAGTTGAGAGAGAGAGAGCTCTTTAGCAGTGGGAGGAAACCTGGAGAACCCAGAGAAAACCACAAGGTTAGACAGACGACCCTACTCCTTGTCATGTGCGGGGATTCGAAACCACGCACTTGACACAATGACAGATCTTATGATGCAGTGAGCACGCAATAACCATTTGGCCACCCAACCTCCCCAAGATGGACAACAACAGAATCGACCACCAGAATAAGTCTCATAGTAATCACAGGACACTATTTCTATAAAACACCTAATTAACTCTATATATAGGTGATAGTTATGGATTGCTACCCTTTAAATATGAATAAATCTGATTTACTATAATGTAATTCATTTTCAGTGGTCCTTGAAAAGAAGATTTTAGAAAAGTGGTGAATTTTATCCTTGTATATGCTTAAATTAGAAGAAAATTTCTACTGTTAATAAACAGTACACAGTTCTATGCAAACAATTATTTTTTATTACTTAGTTATATTTTGACAGTAACTATATTCCATAGAATTGTGCCCTATGTATTTTTCCAGTTCAATTACTAAATGCCATTGAAACAAGTTGTGTTGTTCATGCTGAACAGATAGACTGCTGAACTGTGGATAGAAGTGTTAGTATGAGCTCTTTGATCTGTTGATCTAACCACATGAATAATAATAAAAACTGTATGCGTAGTAAGTAACTCATGGATGTAAATCAAACTTTATCACTCTGAATTCATGATTCTAAAACTTGATAATATAGTAAAAATATTTAATCAAAGTTTTCATTTACCTCTACCGGTATATGAATAATTCTCACGATCAATGTAAGTTTGTGAAAGAACAACTAATCAGATGAATGGCGACAGAATAAATCATATTATGTGAGAAAATTAACTTTCTGTACATTTCCGGCTCGCTATATTATAATTCAGTTCACCATAGAAATAAGAAGTCTTAATATCAAATCTGATCCTCTATGAATAAATCTGTCATATTCAAGCAAACTGATGTAAAACTTTTCGACTCTATATATACCTTTTTGTATATAATTAACAGTGATCTTGTATGGTTATAAATATATTCTTCCAGTTGACTCACATTCAACAATAATTCACAAATATAAAAATAATGAACATGTATTTTGATTTAACAATTTAAATTTCAAAAGTTATATCACACACATATATACTATATTCAAAATTATTTTCAAAAATCTTGAAAAATTATAAATTCATTTGGGCTGTTGAAAACGACTACATCCTGTGTTGACAAATTTTATTCAATTTCTCTATAACGACATGTGAGTAAAGACACACTGGCAACAAAGTGACAGCATACATGACACAAAATGTCACTAATTGACGACATGTCAGTCAAGTTTGTCTCACTCACACGAATGTTTGAGCTATGATATATTAGAGAGAAATGTAAGACTATGTAATAGTATTCTAGTATGTAATAGTATTCTAGTATGTAATACATTTCTAGGTAAATTATTTTTTAACAGTTGTGATGTGACTTTTTCACCCTTCAAATGACCTTTAAAAACACTTTATGACAAATATTCTTTTCACATTTTTACTAGAATGACTCAATTTTTTAAAATATTTTTTGTCTAAATGGTATTTTGTATAAGGAACATCTTGTCTATATACAAAATTATTTTACACACTGAGTAAATTAAAATTTTAAATTGTAAATTTTAGTCAAATCTAACTATAAGTCTTATAGAACTTTTTTTTACATTTATCCTTTAGTTAAAGATGCATTATGTAAGAGCTAAATCTTCCTATTGCAATCTTTATTTTGGCTTCAAATGTTATATAAACCTTCAGTTTGACATTTATTAAAGATTCATTATGGGAGATTAGATAAAGAGCTGGCAGTTCTCACTATAACAGTTAAAAACTAGATAATGTAAAGGGAATTGGCTGAAGATTTCAGTCAAATTGATCCACTCTGAACCAAGATTTTAGCGATTGAATTTTCGGCCTCGATCATCATTACTAAAGTCGGTATGATAAAAAACATACTCTTGATTATCTATTTCATGATTAAATTATAAATGGAAATCGAAACCTAATCCCATAAACATTGCAGGCTAGTGATGACATCGAGAGTTGGTTATGGTCTGGATAAGTTAATTTAGATAACATTTCAGGCCTAAAGAAAGACCTACAATAGGCAGATTAAGCTCTTGCATAATGTATATTTAACATGACAAGCCCATAATCTACTCTCTGGACTATTGGATGGCAGAGATATACATGGATTACGTTTAGAGTGCATGCAAGATTTAAAAAGTTAACAATAAAATAGATTATCAAGACTGAGTGTGGTTTGTCCAGTACGATTACTATTATAAGGTAATAATGTAACTTACATCTTCCAACACTTATATCTTTGCTCAGAATAAAGTAATTTGAATGAAATTATCAATATATTCATTTTTCAATATCTATTTTTGAACCATAATAATAAAACCGGACAGCTCTTTATCTAGATCTTACATAATTCATCTTTCAATTTATGAGCATATGCTAGTTCATCCTATTAATTAACAACAGAAGATACTTTTAAAATTTCCTGTCTTGTTTACAGACATATCCCATCTTGTTCCTTGAATATCCCGTCTTCATAATTGGCATTATCAAAAAATATATTTTAAGAAAATCCTAAATCCTTGATTGTGTTTTTAGTAATATATGTTCAAGTATGGGATGAACTGATCGATTCATTTTTGACAATTTCATATTCCAAATATATTCAGAACAGAACTGTAACCTCAAATCAGTGTGGGCTATGTTAATAAATATGTATAACCTTACAATAAGAGAAGAAACTTACCTACATGTTATATGACAATGCCATAAATAGATATGAATGTAAATAACGAAGTTCATGCTTACCTTATTTATATAGTATACAATCTATAGTGTAGGTTTTAACCATTGTTCACAAACACCATAATCTGAATATAATGATACACACATATGAATATTTCCAAAAATCCTATATTTGTTTTTCTATAATATATCACTACTAATCTATGTATATTCCCTCTTAATCCAAACACACCTTTTTATAATGTCAACAAATTTAATAAAATAGAATAAAATCTATTCACATATCCATTTCTAAAGAAAATATCTGTCTCACTCACTATTCTTGGTAAATCCTTGAATAATGTCATCAAAATAAATCAAATAGAATTGGATCTAAATTGCATAGATTCATATTTGTCTCCCACAGATTAATGTATCTTACATTATATTTATGTATATCTTCTTAATCCAAGCAGTCTCAGGATAAAGTCAACAAATTTAATTAAAGTGAATTATCGGTACATCCGTAAACTCACAACTCTCAGCATGGTATATATTAGTTCACCTAACACTACATATATATACATATCTTCCTATAGGGTAAAGTGTAATTCAAATCTTACACGCTTGGTTGACACTGAAAAATGTCCAGCTATTGTTACTGTGACATGTGTAGTATGCTTAAAACGTGTCACAGTTATTCGAAGGTACATTGGGAAAACAAACGATGTAGATAGAACCAGAGAGTTTTTTGGGGTCCTCCTATCCACCCACAAATCATTTTGTTGACTATCATAGATAACATATTTACACTGGCTTCATTGAGCCTGGTCTGTTACAACATTAGAATTTAGACTTGATAGTACCATTGACCTTTCTCTCGAGTGACAGTGTCACACAGACAAGTGGTATCCAATATACTAGAATTTAAACAGGTACTTGTTACTGGCTTAACTTAGATTTTACAAGTCATGTCAACAGAAGTGGTGTCACAAAACTAAACAACTCCAATACTACTTGTTATTAATTGTATAAATTTACTTTAATAGACAAGTTCCACAATCAGTATAGTGATCAAGATTCTGTTATTGTGCTATCAAATCAATCTTTAAATCAAGTCAGAATATAAATCAAATCAGACTTGTTATGGGGGAATCTAAGAAATATTTCACCTCTCCATCGGATCTCCTGATCGGGAGACAGGATCTCTCAATGTTAATAAAATTATTACCTACACTAGTTTTTGTGGTCACTCATATAGAGTGTTGTTGAGAAAGACAAAAAATATGCAGTTGTTTAATTTTAGCATACTTGCTTCCCATAAGGCTGAGCACGGATGACAGTATCTGATTTCTGTGAGGGATAGATGGAACCTTGTAAATTGGTGACAGTGTGCAGTTCCAATGAGTCACTACCTTTGTCAGATTTAAGAATTTCCAGAATAGAATATAGAATGGAAGTCAACAATACATCAAAACAGTACAATTAGAACACATACCCAGAGAGAGAGAGAGAGAGAGAGGTTTAACATCCACCGACACAAAATAAGTCATCTTGGGCCTAACATATGGTTCAATTTTATTTCAATAATTCGCTTGTGTGTAGGGGTCTTTAGCAGTGGGAGGAACCAGAGGAAACTGAGAAAACCCACGAGGTTGGACAGGTAGTCCTACTCCTTGTCACGTATAAGTGGGGAATCGAAACCACACCACTTGACTCAATGACAGACCTTCTGATCCAATACACATGTGTTAACCATTCGGCCACATACCCAGAGGAGATATAATATTAGCTTGTGAAGTTGCCATATTAAATATTAGTGTACAAGAAATGTATAAAAAGGAATTAATTTCTATAAGTTTAAAAACTGTAAACAAATTAAATATAAAATACTTAAAGGGTGAAATACTTCTGTAAATCTGCATAAAAAATAATGTGGGAATTTCAATTGGACTCATCCCCATGTTTAGCTAAGCAAAAGCTGCACCAAAAAAAGGTTTTTATGTTAAAGCCTGGGCACAGATAAAACATTTTACATCTTGAGTCTTTATTTACATGATTACCATGCATTATTGTACTTTACAACCCTTTTAAAGCTCCAACGTCTTTTTATTAGTCAAGTTGTCCTGACATATAACATGTTACAGGTTTTGAATTTAAAACAAATGAAAAGATTAAACATTTTTTTGTATAAAGACAACACTATTCAAATGAGGTTGTTTACAACTCGAATTCAAATTCACAACACATATAAACATAGTAGTATAAGATTAAAGGTGACAAACTGTGAAATTAGTCAAAAACACCTAAAGTTTTTAAACATTTTCAAAATCCCATCTCAAATATGATCCACAGAAACATAGTCTCATAATAAGGGGTATGCCCAATTATACTGGATGTTCACATTTTAATGTATTCTAAAAACATGTCATTTTAATATACAGAATAGAATGAACAGTATTAGTTTCTTTAATGTTTGAAGCATCACAAACTATATGTATTTCTCAAAGAATGCTGATCTAGAAGTGTTCTTAATACTGATCTTCACATCATGATATCCTTCCTTTGTATTTAAGGCTTTAAAACACCATCACAAACTTTTTTCAAAACTTAAAAACTTTTTTCCCTTGCTAAACCCTTTTAAACACCATAATCTGAAGATTCCCACATAGATTACATGACATTACATCAAAACATAATATGATACTTTCCTTTTAATTATATCCTCATCATAAAATCCTTTTACATCCTCATGCTAATAACAAGTAGTTTTAATAACATAATAATTAAATAACATCTGAAGCAATTATGTTGATCTGCGTATTTTGTCAAAGCAGATATGATTAGGCCTGCACACAGGTACCTCAAACTCGGTGGGTGACCCTTTTACTTTGAAAACAACCATTTGAATATAAATATAAAAGACAAGTGAATTCAATATTTTTCTTATTAAAACTACATTATTTCTACATCAATGTTAATAACACCAAACAAATACTCTCACATCATTCCCAAAAACTAATTGAAAATGTTGACTAGAATTAGTCCACAAGCTAATTCAGGCATCTTTTAAAACTTAGTCAAGGACAATAACTCCACAAAGAACCCATGCTAGCATTTAAATTTGGTAAAGCTACATAGATAAAATCTAATACATTCACGAGACAGTATACGTATTTAGTGTAAGTGTTTATTCAAACCATATTTCCAAAGTGAAATACACAGTGGCTGATTTAGGACATGCAGAAGGGGTAGATATAATGGGAAATATTTAGTGGTGGTGTTGAGCATGGAAGTGGGTGTGTGTGTGTGTATGTGGGAGGGGGGGGGTATTCGCTCCTTCACTGCAGTTTTGGATGAGCTGTAAAAGCGAACAAATGAATATCTTTGTTCTGCAAGTTTATCATTAAATAATGCACAAAAATTATACAGCTTATACTATTGGTGGAGACGTGTTCTATTGTATTATCTCGAGCACTCGCCTTGGTATCTCAAGCGCTCGACTTGGTATCACGTGCGCTCGAGATATATATTTTTTTTTTGGCATGTCCTAAATCAGCCACCGTAGAAATACATCTAAATCACTACTTTATGTGTCACCTAATGAAAAGTATTCTAGTCTTTTTTTAGTTGCTGAGAAAAGTTACATGGGTTAAAGAAGCTACAAAGGACATTAAGAAACTATGACTTTGGCATAAAACAATCCATACTATTATACTATTACATGTATTTCACTTAATAACCTTATTTAATAGTAAAACTACCATCAGAATATTAATATTATTTCTACTTACATACATACTGATACATAAAAAACAACATATAATATATGGTACACCTTATATGTGGACTAATAACAGATGTTGACAGAATATAAACTTTTATTACAATAATTATTTCCTACCACAGTATCAATTTTATGAATTGTATTAAATATATAGCTATATTCAGGAAACAATAAAATAATTGAATAAAAGTATTGATTGCATGTAATAATAAATAGAACAGGAAAGACAAATTGTATGAATAATGAAAAAATTGTTGTTTTATTACTGTTATGATTGAAAAGCTCCACAGGTTCATATGAATTTGTTTTTAAGAATGTAAATTGCATAGTCAGGCCACTGTACAGCTAAACGAACAACCGTAGTTCTGGTCATGGTGGAATGGAATATCGGTGTAACAATTATTTTGGGAGGTGGGTGTGGCGTATGATAAATACTGGTAACATTACTAGAGATAAACATTCTTAATATCAGACTAAGTTACAGGAACTTAAGTTTACTGGTTTGTGAATCGATCCCTAAATTTTCCAAAATAAAGGCTACTCCAATACTTATTTGACCATAAAAGTACGTTACCCACAGGCCTGGAAATAACAGTTTTAGTTGTACCAGACAAAATGTCAGGCACTAATGAAATAGTACCTGACATTTCCAAATTTGTGCCAGACATGTATTAATAATATCAAAAAAAAAGACAAATCAGTGCCGGACAAAATGACAGGCACCAGAGGTTTGTGCCTGACAAAGTCTGAATCTGTACCTGACATTGTCTGTGACAGGTGCCTTCACCCAAAAATATCTGTCCATTATTTTGTTTTACAAATATAGTTTCTTAAGAATGGATAGTTACCGGTATATAGAAGGTAATATTGTAGATGACAAACATTGCCTTACTAGATTATCTTGATCAGATTTGTTGCTGGAATGTTTTTTCAATTGCAAATGAAGACGCTGTAAGAAAACTGTCATCTCAAACTGAAGACCTTTCATGTAATAACTGGTGATCATGAATTACTAGAGTTTTATTTTGTGGATTCTATAGGTTAGTTAAATCAATTAATAGCAAACAGTATTGTGGTGAGAAAGGAAACTCATTCCTGTTGGTGTCAGCATTAAAGTAAAATGGGGATGTGGTTTAAGTTAGAGGTACTACTTTTTCAATCTCAGCACCATGACAAAGCACTTTGTACATTGGATTGTTTTATTTCTCCACTGGTGGAGATTGGATGAGTTTCTCTTTAATTAGTGTTGTTTGCATTTTTGTACTATACAAATTGAAATGCAGGCCACATACTGATACATTATAAGAACGGAATACTCATGCAAAAGTAGTATTGCAGAGACTAAATGGATTCAAGATG